TCACGGGGTGGGGATTGGACCCTGAGGGCTCTGGGGGTGGAGCCGGGGCCACAGGGGTGGAGTTTGGACCGTGTCCAACTCTTTGAGACTCCGTGAACAGTAGCCCACAAGGCTCCTCTGTCCATGGGATTCTCCAGGCAAGAATAGTGGAGTGGGCTGCCTTTCCCTTCTCCAGGCGATCTTCCTGACCCAGGGACTGAACCTGGGTCTCCTGCATCGCAGACAAATTCATCACCATCTGAGTCACCAGGTAAGTCCAAGGATCCTTGAGAAACGGGGGGAGCACCCCAAGACTGGGAGATGGGCCTCTGGGATTCCGACCCTTGCTGCTGTGAGCCCGTCACGGTGGTGGCCCCTGGCCTTTGGGCCACTAGGCTAATGGCATGTTCAGGCCCAAGTGATCATCTTGAGTGTGCAAATGGAAGGTCTGCAGGGACCCCACTTGAGAGTAACCTCTGCGCCTCCCTGGGAAGCCTCCTTCCCCACGGTCCCCTCCTGCATCCTCTGCTGGGCCCTGCCGGCCACTCCTTGCTCCAGGCTCCAGGCCCTTCCTTCTCAGCTACTCTGGGGTCTGCCTTCAGGCCCCCAGGTGCTCGGATCACAACTTCCTCCCGGCTTGGTCTGCAGGGAAGGGGCCCTGAGAGACAGCAGAGGGGAGGGGCGACATTCTCCCCAACATCAGCGGGTCACAGGTGGGTTGGGTCATGGGTGGGCCGGGTCTCGGGTGGGCCTGGCCACGGGTGGGCCGGGTCTCGGTTGGGCCTGGCCACGGGTGGGCCGGGTCTCGGGTGGGCTTGGCCACGGGTGGGCCGGGTCTCGGGTGGGCCTGGCCACGGGTGGGCCAGGTCACAGGTAGGCTGGGTCACAGGTAGGCTGGGTCTCAGGTGGCTGCATCCCCAAGCACTGGAGGCTTCATCCAGGCAGGGGCTGAGCCGGAGGCCAGTTCTGTGACCTGGGCCAGTGCTTCCCTCCACACTGTCCTTGTTCTTCTGTGACTGGCTGAGTGAGGAAGGGTCTTCCCTGGAGATGGGGCTGGGCAGAGGGCACTGGAGGGTCCCTGGAAACACTAGCATCTGAAATCTGGAAAACTCTGCATCCTAGGTTCCTACTACCGACACCAGGAAATGGTGCGTGGGCTAAAATGATTAAAGAAAGTCACCACCACACGAGACAGAGCTAATTGAAAAGCTTGCTTATTCCTAGTGGAAGAAATGGGATTAGTCTAAAATGTCTGAAAATCAACTGGAAAGAGATTGCCAAGTACCTTTTCAAAATCGGTGGTTTGGGAATTAAGTTAGGGACTTAAACTCTACGATAATTCAACAAGACTGCCTCAGCATCTTCTGGCGGGGTGGGGGCGGATCTGAGCTGTCTCTTGGAAGATTGAAAAGATCCGGAAACACCTTGTAGGTTCACACGGAGGGGACTTGTCTGGCCTGAAACACCTCCTCCCTTGACCTCTGATCGGTGTCCTGACCCCACCAGACCCCCTGGAACTGGGGCGTTAGGAGGAAAGGTGCCTGCAGGACACAGGTCACCCCAGATTCTAGGCTTCAGGACTGAGGCGTCACAGCAAGTGGTGGGGGGCCTGGTTCTACGGCAGTCCTTGTGACAATAAGTCACAGCGCCCTTGGCAATGCACTGACTCACCCCTGGGGAGTCTAGAGCCCATCATGACAGCAGGTGGCACCCTGCAGGATGCTTGGGGCGTGGAGGCCAGTCCAGGGCTTGGCTGCGTCATCTGAAGCAGTTGGCTGAGCCCAGGCTTCTGCAGCGGATGGACAGATGCTACATAGTGGCTCAGCAGGCACAAACCCCTTTAATTCCCGAAGCAGCCTTCTGAGGAAGGTGGCGGGGAAGCTCTCCCCAGGGGCACGGGCACTCCCCTCGGTCCTCCTGCCCTCCTGCCACCTGCCTCTCCTAGCACTGGCCAAGGCCCCGGGGGGCATCCATGTGGCCCATGCAGCTCAGCCTCCTGAAGGGCCAGAGACGGCTGGAGAGAGGCAAGTGGGTCTGGAGGGTCAAACGGCAAGTTCCCGCACATCACACTATTTAAACGAGGCTCCTTTTTCTGTTAATTGTGCATCTGATACAGCCCCACCGGCTCTCTCCAGCTATGTCCAGAGGAGGTGTCCATTCTTCCTCAGTATGCCTTTTAGTTCTGTGGGGCTGCCGGGGCTGGCAGGTGGCCCGGACCTGGGTTTCGGTTTCCCGTGAAATGGTGGGATTCCCCGCCCCCATCAGGTAACCTGGAGCCAGCCAATCAATATGCGCCCAGTAAGAAACAAAGGGAGAGCTAAAAAGCCCGTGGACGCCTAAGTTTGAACAAAAGCCCGTGAAAGTTTGTACCAATAAAATTGCTTTGCAAACATGTAACCAATCCGCTTAAGCCAGCTACTAACTGCTTATGCATACCTTATAAATTTGGGTAACCGCCTCTGCTCGGGGCTCTCTGACCCCGTACCACTGTGTTGGACGCGCGGCAGGAGCCCTGATTCGAGTCAGTAATAAACTTCCCTTTTTTGCGAGTTGCATTGTCTTGGTAGCCTTCTCTCTTCCCGATCGGGGATTCGGACATCGGGCATAACAGTTCCACTACTGATGCTTTCAAACTGTGGTGTTGGAGAAGACTCTTGAGAAGACCCTTGGACTTGCAAGATCAAACCAGTCCATCCTAAAGGAAATCAGTCCTGAATATTCTTTGGAAGGACTGACGCTGAAGCTGAAGTTCCAGTACCTTGGTTACCTGTTGCGAAGAGCTGATTCATGTAAAGACTGATTTTGGGAAAGATTGAAGGCAGGAGGAGAAGGGGCTGACAGAGGAAGAGATGGTTGCATGGCATCACCGACTCAATGGGCCTGAGTTTGAGCAAGCTCCAGGAGTTGGTGATGGACAGGGAAGCCTGGCGTGCTGAAGTCCATGGGGTCGCAAAGAGTCAGACATGACTGAGCGACTTAGCAGCAAGAGCCAAAGGAGCAGCCACTGTGGGCTGGGACTTTCCTGGGCCTGGGGTCAGGGGACATGTAGGCAAGGCTGTGCCTGCCTGAGGTTATTCTCCAGGGTTGGGGGAGGCAGATGACAAGCCCCCATGAGATAGAGGAAAAGACAGTGCAACAGGAAGGAGAGGAGGGGGCAGAGAGTAGAACAGACTGGACTTTCCAGCGCTGACGAGCTTGATGAAGAAAGATGGGGCTGCTTGAGATGCAGCATCTTTCTTAGGAGGTGGCGTTTACACAAAGGCTAAGGACAGGTCTGGCTACTTGTGAAAGTCTAGAACAGCGGGGGAGACAGCAGGTGCAAAGGCCCAGAGGCAGGCACTGCTTGTGTTCAGAGCCCAGGAGGGCCGAGGGGCAGACGCTTTGCTGGTGCGTTTGGAGATGTTGACAGGGTCAGATCTGCCGAGTCTTGTGGAGCATCGAGGAAAGTGGGTTTTACTCTAGATCTGAGGAGGGGCGTTGGATCTCATGGGGGGAGGGCGTGTCACTCTGACTGCTGAGTGGACTGAACAGAAGTTAAGAGCCCAGGGCGGACACCACAGCTTTCATCCAGGGGGTGGTGGCGGGGGCAGGGATGGGGCCGCGAGCACTGCTTAGATTCTGGAGGTGTTCCTGAGCACTGGAGCCAAAGGATGTGCCCGAGGGAGTGAGTTAGCCTCCTGGAGGGGTGGTCAGGGCACTTAGCCTGAGACACAGACCTGGTGCTGTTGGTAGTGGCCGTGGGTGTGGACATCCTGGTCCTGGGAAGACGTGAGGAGGCTGGAGGGTGGGATGGACGGCCCACAAGTGCATCTGGCGGAGCCCCCTGTCCACTATTGTTCTCGGTCCTGCGCTGACCTCCCCTCCCCCTACACCCTCCCCTCCCCCACAGGCACCTTCCCCTCTCCCCCACTCCCGCCTCCCTCCCCCAGGCATCTCAGAGTCTGCCTGTGAGCGTGTCAGCGCGGTGCTGGTCCCACTCGGGTCTTTCTGGGACCCACACAGAGGTGGTCCTCATCTGAACAGCACTGACAGAGGACAGCTTGGGGGCGGAGACCCCCCACACACACCGACCTCTCCCACTCTTTTCCTTCCTGCTTTTCTGCATTAAGCAAAAAGACTTGTTTGTCTATTGTTTGCTGTTTGCCAGCGGCCTTCTTTCCCTCCTGCCCGACTGTCACGCAGACCCCAGTGGACAGGATGCGTCTGTCTCTCTCAGGCTGCCCTCCAGGGCCTGGTACGAGCGCCTCTGTCCATGAGAGAATCCTGGAGTGGCTTGCCATGCCTTCTCCAGGGGATCTTCTCGACCCGGGGGTCGAACTCAGGTCTCTTGCATCTCCTGCACTGGCAGACGGGTTCTCTATCAGTACAGCCACCGGGGAAGCCCCAGGCCCTGAAATCCACCCTGGCTGTAGGGCTTTCTCACCAAGGGGCATCATCACCCAGAGTCCTGAAGCCTCGGGACGTATGAGCCTCGATCCTCACCCTCTGGGAGGTGACGCTCACACCCAGAGCTTCTGTGGCATCAGCCCAGGCCTGAAATCCCCCCCGCCGCTCGGCCTCACCGTCTCCCAGGGGAGGACCAGCTTTGGAAATTCTGGTTTGGGGTCTACTCAGAGCTTGTTCTAAAATGCCGCCTAAAACCGGCACTGGCCCCGAATTCTCTCTGCCAGCTCAGATCAGAGCGCATGGCCGTGCGGGATGTGGAGTGCACCACCGCTGGTGCTGGACGCTGCGGCAGCTTGAGGGGACTCCCTCCAACTCCCAGACGCAGCCTTGGCGGAGAGGAGCTCATCTCTGGGGTCCTGGCGAGCCCCTTGGCGTGGCAGGTGAGTGTGGGTGGCCAGTGTGTGAACACACAGGCCCAGTGGCCCCTGCAGGGACCCCGCCCCTGCTGCCGAGGTTCCGGCCCCAGGCTCCTCGTCCGTCTCCCAGGCAACCGAGTCTCGCCGCCCCCCCCCCAAGGCCCTGGTCTCCTGGGCGGCAGTGGTCTCCCCGCACGTGTCGCCATGGTGTCCCACCCTCCGCTGTCAGAGAAAAGGCTCCCGATGGGAAGAATGCGGCCGCGGTAATTAGCCCAGCGATACAGAGACGCATTCCGTGGCCCCGCGCTCATGGGAGAGGGGCCGCCCAGGATTCCGCCGTCAGCCCGGGTGTCACCCTGGGACACGGAAAGCGGCATGGGGACTCGGGAACTCGCCGCCCCGGCGGCTTTCCGGAGAGGATGGAGCAAAATAGATGCGCTCAGAATAGCCGGGCCAGCCTCACCTCAGCCAGCGCTAATCTCTTCCAGTCACTAGCTTATCAATACTGACGTGTATCAATAAAAACGACAGGCACTCGCCCCCAGGCAGTCGCGGTAAGCATAAGTGAGGAGGGCGTGAATTCTGTCCCTGTTGATGACAGAAAGGGGCTGGGGCTTAAGCAGCCCAAGGTCTGGGGGTCCTGAAGCCGGGAAGACAGGCTTCACCCCCACGCCCAAGGCCAGAGTCCACGCCCAAGGCCAGAGTCCACGCGCCGCCCAGGGCCACACGGCCAGAGGCCAGTCCACCTGCCGGCCAGCGCAGGACTCAGGTCCAGCTGGGGTTGGTGGGCGGGCAAGCTGTGGGGTCAGAGGGACAGAGACAGTCGTGCCTGGTGAGTCTGAGACTCTGCACGGGGTGACGGGGACCCGGTTTCCTTCCAGGGGTCACTGTGTGGAACAGGAAGGGAAGATCTGGGACCCAGCGGGGGCCAGTGCTGACCAGTGAGCCCGGGGGGACCGAGGAGCAGCCGCCGGAAGCTGCGTCAGGAGAGAGGAGCACAGGTGTGCCATCTGAGATGCTGGGACGGGGCGGCTGCACCCAGACTGCGCAGAGGCCCCGCAAGGGCGGACAGGGCCGGGGTGGTCTGCTCGGCGGCGAGGAAGGCAGGGGTGAGCTGGTGTTGGCAGGGGTGCGCGGGAGGAAGGGGGCTGGGAAAGCTCAGCTGACAGCGGGAGGAGGACGTGAGGCCACAGAGCGCTTTCCCCCTGCAGATGCACAGGCTCAGCTGCTCTGTGCCTTGAGGGTAAAAACCAGAGAAAAGTAAAGGGAAAGCATTAGTCGCTCAGTCGGGTCCGACACTGTGCGACCCGTGGACTGTAGCCTGCCAGGCCCCTCTGTCCACAGGATTCTCCAGGCAAGAATACTGGAGTGGGCTGCTGTTCCCTTCTTCAGGGGGTCTTCCCGTCCCAGGGATCAAACTTAGGTCTCCTGCATTGCAGGCAGATTCTTTACCATCTCAGCCACCTGGGAAGCCCCCCAAAAGGAGGCGTTAAAAACACAGCCAGCAGGAGGGTGCTAAGAGAGCAGCACTCAGCGTGGGAGGGTGTGGGGGAGGGGTGGCTGAGAGCTTCGCTCCACGGAGGCAGTGCAAGGATCCAGGTCACATTCAAAAGTAGAGCCTGATCCCACAGTGTCCACAGAGGCACCGAATACACGGTGATACACGGTTTGAAAACCAAAGCATCGAGGGATGTGTTTGCACAAGAAGAGAGGAATTACAATATTATCGTCAAAAATAATTTGAAGGGCAAATCGCTCAGCAAGAGACCAACATGTGTTACAGAGAGCTACCATACCCAGTAAAGCTGGAACGAGCTGGAGCCTTTACAAAGGTGTTCAACTTCTGATATCCAGATATAGAAAGAAAAACTCAATATATCAGCAAGGCTGCTAAGGTGATGGGCGGTTTGTCACCAGCAGAGCCCAACGCTTCATGACTGATATGAGAATGACTGGGTGAATCCTATTAAAATGTTGAACACTCCTGAAGCGTGACTCAGCAAATCCACTTCTCAGCGATCACCCTTAAAATGCCCATCACAGAGGAAACTCCCTGGTGTTCAGGATACTGTGCTTCCACTGCAGGGGCGCAGGTTTGATCCCTGGACAGGGAACTAAGATCCTGCAAGCTGCAGGATTTGGCCAAAGCAAAAATATCCAGTGCAGTTCTCTTTCCGAGCAGTCAACTCGCATGCCAGGCCGAGAGCAGCCAGAAGAGCTGGATAAAATGCAAAAGTAAACTGTCTAAAGGTGTCAGAGGGCCGTGGGAGCAGCGAGGGCAGGAGGGACTGAAACCTCAGCGGGGGAGGCCCTCGGAGAGAAGGACGAGGGGGAGGCCCTCGGAGATAAGCTGCGGTCCTCAGTGTGTTTCCCGGGGCCTCGTCATTCGGGCCTGGTCAGAGGCTTGCCCACGCCGAGCAGAGGGGAGCCTCGGCTCAGGGCCCGGGTCCTGGCTGTCGAGCTCCCGCCCTCTCCGCTGGTTGGAGCCACGGTGAGTGTTTTCTGGTGAAGACACTGGCTGTGCCTTCCTCAGGCTTGTTGGTGCATCACGCCCAGCGGGTGGTTCAGAAGTAACCCGGTAAACCGAGGAAAACCAAAACATGACTGAAAGCCAAGAAGGAAAAAAATGCAGCAAGAATAGAATCAGAGGTGCCTGAGCTGCTGGTGTTAGCAGGCGAGGATTTCTAAATAACTGGTATGTATGTTCAAGAAAATAGTGGAAATGATGGGGAAAATAGATGAGGAAAAAGAGACAATTGATCAAAGAAATAGAACCTATTAAAAGACCTAAATGGAAATTCTAAAAGTGGAAAATATCTGAAATCAAGCAATCAATGGATGGATTTAACAGCATCTTAGCTATGGCAGAATTCTGGGTTATAGAGCTGAGTGAAAGTGAACTAGAAATGTCCAGACTAAAGCAGACGGAGGGGCGGGGGGGAGTAAAAGACCCAAGCCATTCAGTGAAATTGTAGCCCCCAAGGAGAGGGAGAAAGGGACGAAGCTACGTTTGGAGAAATAACGATTGAGAACTTTCCAAAACCACCGAAAACCACCAGCCCACAGATTTAAAAAAGCTCTACAAGTCCCAAACAGTATAAAGACAAAGGAAACCATGCCTTCATCCGTCAAGGCAAAACCATGGAAAATGAGAGAAAAGGAAGAAATCGGGTGGAGAAAAGCAATGAGCTCTCATCACAGAAGAAGTTAGAAGACAGTGGGATGACAGTTTTGCATAGCAGAAATAAAAAAAGAACTGCAATCTAGAACTCTACATTGCCAAAAATACACTGACAAAATGAAGACATTTTAGGCAAAGGAACACCGACAGAACTCAAAACCACAAGGCCTGAACTAAAGAAATTCCCAAGTGAGGGATTTCCCTGGTGGTCCAGTGGTTCGCACCCCGCCCTTCTCCTGCAGGGGGCGTGGCTTCCTCCTGATCAGGGCAGCTAAGACACTGCAAACCCCTGGGCGCAGCCAAAAAAGCATAGAATGAATTCTAAGGTGAGTTCTTCAGATGGAAAGAAAACTCTCCCAGCAGAACTGTGGAAACATCAGGAAGAACAAAGAGCAGAGAATAAGGTAAAACTTGAGTAAATATATGCAGGCATCCGTGGCAGTGAACGCTGATAGGTGATGTACACGTTGAATTAAATGCAATACAACCATAAAGCCTAAGGCCAGGGGAGTGGTACAGTGAAAGTCTTCCCAAGAGCGAACAGGACGGGAAATTGGCAAAGCCTCAGTTCATCCTGAACCATTGTGCGTCAGTCAAGGCTGAATGTTGACGTTGCCAGGATTAGCAACTAAAAATAGTAAAACAGCTTATAACTCGTGAGTTAGAGAGGGAAAACAGGATGAGATGGATATTCCACTAATTGGAAAGAAGGCAAGAGGTGAGAGGAAAATGGAACATAAATCAGATGGGCAAATAGGAAACAAGATGACAGACGACAAACGTAACGTTCAGCGATTATGCTGTGTAGAATGGGCTGAATAATCAAGCGAAAGATTAATCACATCAGACGCCATGCAAAAAATAAAACCCGAGTATACACCAGTTAAAAGGGACACTCCTTCCATCGAAGAGCATGAAACAGTTGCGAGAAAAAACGAAAGGAAAGGAGGGATTGCAAGCACAGCCAGAAGGCAGTCTGCGGAGGCCTGCGGCCGTCAGACAGAGCCAACGCGAAGGCAAGATGCTTTGGGGAGAGGAGTGAGACGCACGCTGATGGGATCGGTCCTTCTGGAAGATGGTACAGCCCTAGAGAAGCATCAGTAACATGAAACACAGGAAACGAAAAAGACCAAAGGGAAGGACGAGAGAAATCCAAAATCATAGAGGCAGATTTGACCCACCTCTCTCTCAATGGCAGATTTACAGGCAGACAAGAAATCAGAAAGGAGCTGGGAGTTCCGAACAGCACCTTGGACAGCCCTGACCTAATTGACAGGTGATGCAGACCACTGCACCCGCCTACAGCCAGGCCCGCGTCCCATCATTAGTGCACGAAGCCCCATGATACTCCCCTGTTCCAACCCGCAGAACATATCTCAGCACATTTCAAGGGATTGAAATCACTCGGGAGCAGATCCTCGGGCCACCACGGAAATAAGCTGGAAAAAAGACAAAAGGTGAAAAAACAACCAGATAAAGAAAAGCAAAAGAAAACGTAAATACAACTGGAAAATCCCAACCACTTGGATTTAGGCCATTTACCTCTAAGTCACAGGTCACACAAAAACTTACAAAGGAAATGAGAGGAGTGTGAACTGATTGTTATTGGAGATGTAACATATCATCGGACAGGGGAACAGTTAAAGCAGTGTTCAGAGGGAAATTTATAGCCAAATATGCATATATTTAAAAAGAAGGAAAGCTGAAGATCAATGATCTAAGCTTCCATCTCAAGAAGCTGGGGCGTGGGTGGGGGGAAGCAAGTCTAGTGAAAGCAGAAGGAAAGAAAAATACAGGCATGACAAGAAATCAATGAAGCCGAGAATATACATATACCAGAGAAAATCCATGAAGACAAAATTTGCTTCTTTAAAAAGATTTAAAAAAAAAAAAAAAGATGAATATACCTCCAAAAAACGTGATCAGGAGTGGAGAAAAAGGAGAGGAAAAAAAGTGATATTAGTAATAAAAAGACACTAATAAAACAAGAAGATATTACAAATAACTTTGATTTCATGATTTAGATTCAATGGGCAAATCCACCTTTCAAAACACAGTTTATCAAAATTGCAGGTGGTATTTAATCTGAATAGTCTGATATTTACTAAATAAATTGTATCCATTATTAAAACTGCTTCTCACCAAGACAACCCATATCTCAAATGGTTACACTGGTGTTTAGAAATTTAAGGGAGAAATAACACTAATCTTGCACAAACCAATCTAGGGAGTAGAAAAGGAAAAAAGGTGTCCAAACTCATTTTAGAGGACTAGTGTAGCCTTTCTATCAAAACCTCACATGGACACTAGAAGAAAGAAAAATAACTGACCAGTTTCTTTCATGAACATACCCGGGAAGCTATTGGCAAATTGGATCCAGTGACACATAGTAATGATCACATATTGGAGTCATGTGAGGTTTATTCTAGGAATGCAAAATCCATTAGTATATTTAAAATTCTCACATATTAAAGAGAGATATCATAGGATCATCTTAATATACACAGGATTTAATAAAATCCAACAATGCACATGAAAAAAACTCCTAGTAATTTGGAACAGATTTGATGGATCTTCCTTAAACTGACAAACACCATGAGAGTAGGAGTGGGACAAGAAATACAGGCAATATTTCTATTCAACATCATATTGCACTTTGTAGCAAATGCCTTCAAGCAAGAAAAATGAATGAAAAGGCAGGAAAGAAAGAAATCAAATGGTCATTATTTGTAGATCCCACGACCAGTACGAAGAAAAGTCAAATTAACCTAACCATGAAGTGAAAGTTGCTTAGCCCTGTCCAACTCTTTGCGACCCCGTGCGCTATACAGTCCATGGAATTCCCCAGGCCAGAATACTGGAGTGGGTAGCCTTTCCCTTCTCCAGGGGATCTTCCCAACCCAGACACTGAAAACTCTTAGAATTAAGAGGTGAGTTTAGCAAGATCACCAACTTTATTTTTATATATCACAACACGTTCTGGGAAATGAAATTTCATTTTTGATTTTTGGCCGCCCTGGGTGCTCCTTGCCGCGTGGGCTTTCTCTGGCGTGGCGAGCGGGGCTTCTCGCTGTGCTGGCTTCTCCTGCTGCGGGGCGCGGTGCTCAGGCTGCAGCAGTTGTGCCGCATAGGCTTAGCTGCCCCGCGACATGTGAAATCTTCCTGGGCCAGGGATCGAACCCATGTCCCCTGCACTGGCAGGTGGATTCTCAACCCCTGGACCACCGGGGAAGTCCACATGAAAAGTCAAAACCCATCTTTTATACGATGGCGCTGAAAAGGTCTAACACCTAGGTAAGGCCCTTGTTACTTCCGTAACAGAAGGTGTATTAGACTTCTACACTGAAAATTATAAAATACTTTTAAAAGAAATTAGCAAAGACCGAGACAAGTGGGAAAATACTATGTCCAGAGATGGGAAGACTGGATATTGAGATTTTTATGTCACCTCTCACAGTAATGTAGAGTCAGTACAAATTCTGATTCAAGTCCAGGGGTTTTCTTTTTTCCCATAAATTGAAAGGTTATAACAATCTTGAAAAAGAACAAAACTGAAGGATTCGCTCTACCTAATATCATAACAATATTGTAAAGCTAAAGAAGATACCATAGCATGCATTTAGCATGAGGGATGATTAATCTACCATTGTACCAAGCTAGAGAGTCAGAAAGAGACCTCCACCTAAACAAGTGCCTGCAAAGCTCACTAGGAAGCGGCAGCCTTTACAATACATGCTGCTGGATCAAGTAGTTGTTTATATTTTAAAAATCCATTTTGATCCCTGCTTCGCACCATTAAAAAAAAAATCAATTCCAGATGGATGGCAGATCCAAATGTGAATGGGGAAATAATTTTTAGAGAAAAATATAGGAGCACAGAATTGTAACCTTGGAGTAAACCAATATTTCTTGGATAGAAAATACAAAAGCACTAACCACTGAAAACCTGAGAAACTGGACCATATTAAAATAAAAAATTCCTGCTCATCAAAAGACACTAAGAGAATTAAGAGGTGAATCACAGAATGGGAGATGCTGATTGCAACATATATGTGACAAAGGATTGTATCCTGACTCTATTAAAACTCCTGGAAATCGTTAAGAGAAAGACAGATGGCCCAATGTGAAAGTGAACAAAAGACTTTGATTAAAGAAATTTTCACATATTGAGGTATTGGAAGTCATTCTGGCTTACACATGAGTTAACTTGAATTTTATGCTGACTAGAACAGTCTGCTTCTTGGCCTATCAAATATACATTGTACATCTGTTTTAATTATTAAAGAAAAGGGCATATTGACCAGGAGTAAAGAATGTCCTTGTTAAAGACAAAGATTAAACACCTCCCGTTCTGAAACACCAATGCTGGTCCACTTGCAATGATAAGACTCCCTTCCCAGGTGCCAAGGCCACGCTGACCGATCTGGTTTATTTGAAACCTTGAAGGAATGTATCTCTGACTTGTGTGATATTCTTTGCTCTGACCACACATGAAACTGTGCTGAAAACCATGCTTCTCAGAGTCATCTGGGAAGCTGGCTTCTGGCCTGGAGTCCTCAGTTTGCCTCAAATAAAACTCTTTTCTATACCTATTATAGATTATTGATTACTTTCATCAACGTTGCTTGGCATTGCCGGCAGGCTGTCAGAGAAACCCACCCGAGGTCACCTGGAGTCTTCCTTGGACCAGCACTTGGTACCGAGCATTGGCCTCTTGCAGCCCTGCCGTTTCACAGCACCATTCGGGCGGCTCGGTGAGTTTCTCCTGGTGCCTGGGTCTCCTTGTATTAAGCGATGGCGCACTACTTGTATCTGAGCTTCATCTTAAGACCTGAAGTCTTAAGGGGGCACTGGTACATTTTCTAGGTGAAGAGAACCTGAGGGGGGTGGGGATCCCCTAGGCAGAGAACCCAGGGGGACTTCTAGGCAGGAAAGCCTGGAAGGAATTTTGGAGTAACTGGGTTGGCTGATATTATTTATTTATTTAAAAATGTGGCTTAAAATTGCAAATATTTGTACTTTGCAATAAAACAAAATTAAAAGAAAGCTGGGGATTGTGCTTCTTAAGCCAACCAGCTTCTAGACAGGCAGTCACATACTAGAATTCTGGTTAGTTTCAACAATTGGTATGGAGCCAAAACATCCAAGAATTTACCTAACCCCAAAAAGGCCAAGATGGAACTTTTTGGCATTCCAAAGTTGATTTTGCATGCACAATTAAAGAAAGCTGGCTTGATGAACAGCTTTTCAAAATTCTGACCCCTGAGAGAACATAAGTACTCTTAAGAAAAAAAAACTTGAAGTTACAGCTCTTACACTGCCTGAGACTACAGCCTTGGGTCTATAGAATAAAAAGAACTTTAGAAACTCAAGCAGAAAACTATGAGATCTTTGTCTGTGTCTATCTGGATGTATGTATGTCTCTGTGTGTATGTTATAAATGTGATATATGCCGACCTCTGGATGGTGTTATCAAAGTTAATTAGTAAAAGAGCTCTACTTAATTGACTTAAAAGTAAGTCCTTACAAATCAAACATTTCTAAACATAGCGAAAAAATCAAGTCATTTAAAGTATCACGGGATCTAGGATTAGTCTTTAAAAAATGAAAGCAAGTTTAGGTTGTTGGTTTGATAGATACGAACATCTCTTTAGATTCATCAACATTAAGTATAATACTTTTATTTGGTACCTAGTTTTCCTAAAAGTCAGTAAGTTTGTGTTATCTCTGTCATAATGTTTGTCACAAGAAAATTAACTTGGTATGATGTGTGTGTGTGTATGCTAAGTCACTTCAGTCATGTCTGACTCTTTGTGGCCCCATGGACTGTAGCCCGCCAGGCTCCCCGTCCATGGGATTCTCCAAGCAAGATACTGGAGTGGGTTGCTGTCCCCGCCTCCAGGCGATCTTCCTGACCCGGGGATCGAACCTGAGTCTCTTGAATTATAGGCAGATTCTTTTTTTTTTTTCAATAAATCATCTCTTTTTTTTAACTTTAAAAATCAGTTTTTATTATATTATTTTATCAATAATTACACAGGTAAAAAGTCACCCTATTTATAAACAATTCAAATAACAGAAAGAGTAAAAAATGATGAAAGGTATCGTTACTCCCTGCATGCACAGAGGTAGACATTGCTACATTCCCATGAGCATCCTTCCAGAAATTTACCTTCGCCTTTGTTTGTGTGTCTTTACAGACACTGTTGTTTTTGCTCAGTTGCTCTGAGAGCCCATGCACTGCAGTATGCCAGGCTTCCCTGCCCTTCACTATTTTGGGGAGTTTAGTCTTTTTTTAAAAAATTAATTTATTTTAATTGGAGGCTAATAACTTTACAATATTGTGGTGGTTTTTGCCATACAGTGACATGAATCAGCCACAGGTGTACACGTGTCCCCCACCCTGAGCCCCCCACCTACCCCCCCATCCCTCTGGGTGGTCCCGGCTTTGAGTGCCTGGCTCCATGCATCAGATTGGCACTGGTCATCCCTTTCACATATGGTAATGTGCGTGTTTCAACGCTGTTCTCTCAAATCACCCCACCCTCACCTTCTCCCACAGAGTCCTGAAGTATGTTCTTTACATCTGCGTCTCTTTGCTGTCTTGCATATGGGGTTGTCGTTACCATCTTTCTAAATTCCACATATACGCATTAATACACTGCATTGGTCTCTCTCTTTCTGACTTACTTCACTGTGTATAATAGGCTCCAGTTTCATCCATCTTATTAGAACTGACTCAAATGCATTCTTTTTTATAACTGAGTAATATTCCATTGTGTATATGTACCACAGCTTTCTTATCCATTCATCTACTGATGGACATCTAGGTTGCTTCCATGTCCTAGCTATTGCAAACAGTTGCAGGCAGATGCTTTACCACTGAACCACCAGGGAAGTCCTTGGTATCAAGACATTTTCACAAATATTGAAACAGAGATAAATGGGATAAAAGTTTTTAGGTGAACTCTTTAAAAACAATTATGTCCTATGGTATATCTACCTAAAAATAGCTTCTCTGGATTTTTGGTAACTTAAAACTTTTAGACTTTTGCTAAATTAAATAAAGTAATGGGAACTCACTGAATGTCCAGATTATTTCCCATTAAGATGGAAGTGCTGAAACATTAATTGCTAAGCATGTATAAATTTACCTGCTTTGTCTTCTCATTAGAGAAAATCTAAAGATGTTTGGGTTTATTGAACACGTCTTGTACCACACTGAGAAAAGAGATTATGCTGAGAGAAGATGTTTGTTTCGAGAATTTATGAAGTATGTTCATACGTTTGCTGATCAGGAACTGGTGGTGTGACAATCAGTTTGCTTGCTACTTGGTGTTTGCTAGAGATTAAGGCTTCTAACAGACGATGAGATGGCTGGATGGCATCACCGACTCGATGGACATGAGTTTGAGTAAACTCTGGGAGCTGGTGATGGACAGGGAGGCCTGGAATGCTGCGATTCATCGGGGTTGCAAAGAGTCGGACATGACTGAGCGACTAAACTGAACTGAAGGTTTCTAAAGAGTTAAAAATTATAATATATATAATTAAATCCTCACGAAATAATTGGAGAAACATTTCAGTATTCAAGGAGAGTAATAAGATGTATGTTTTTAGTGAAACAGGGTCTGAAGAGTGGAAATGCGTTTTGTTAAGGGAAAGCAGAAGTATGCTGCCCTAAAGCATCTCAGAGACACTAAAGTCATCACGCTGGCTGGCTGTATTACGTTGCGTGGGAAGCAGGCCAAGCAAAAGTAACATTAAGCTTCCTTTCTGTTATGTCGGTGTAAGTGTATAAGTGTTCCAGAAACGATATGAAATTCCTGGAAATCATACATGTTCTGACATAAAATGTTATCTGTCATCAAAATTGATGCTCCCATTAAAGAACTGAACCCGACTATTTAGGAAATGCCCTCGCTGATTTTCATGCTGAAGCAACTTGACTACAGACTCTGTAGAGATAATGGCACTTGTAGATAAAGTCCATCCTCCTTCTCCAGACCATTAACCCCTCATTGTCAGACTCCTGCCATCCTGAGCTCCTTAGAACAGTCTGCTCCTAAATCAGAGAAATTAGACGGTAAACGATAGCTGTGACTTGAGCAGTTGGGGCTTCAGGAAACCCAAGACGGCTGCTAGGCTCCTCCTGGCTCCCTGGCAAACACTGCTTTTCATTCGGGGGGTTAAAGCCTTCCTTTGCTGCAAGGCTAAGGAATTTGTCCTCACAGAGACAAATAAGCTGTTAGAAATTGTGTTTTCCACTTAGGATTATGCTTTTCACAGTCTCCAGGGATCAAGGTACCCCCTTCATTGGGCAAATCATACTAATATTTACAAAAACCTCACAAACTTCTTAAAATTATCACGGTAACTGTGCTCCTCAGTTGTCAGGCAGAGTCAACAAAAGTCATGGAGAAACTGGACTCAAGCGGAACTGAAAATAATTACATGGGATTGAATGAACTGATAAGCGTGGTTATAATTTTTATGACTTTTTATCTGAATGTTACCGTTTTTTAATCTTTGTTTTCCAAATAAGGGAACCTTTCCCCCTTAAGCTAATGATGACTTACAGCAATTTTGTAAATTATACCTTTGCAAAGTAGAATTGAAGCATGTATCTTATCTTTCCTCTCTCCCTGATCCCTCCAGAATTTGGGAACTCTTGGGTTCCCAGCAGCCTTTCCAGGTGAATAAGGAAGGCTGCTTCCTGGCGAATACAAGAACCTCAGGATATTTTGAAATATTCCTCAAGAGAGGAATGCGCCTACCTCTGGAGGTGTTGCAGGAGGAATCTAATGACACGGCTTTCCTGATCTTGAGAGGCCTTGCAAAAGTTCACTTTGAGATCCCTTGTATAAAGTTACAGTAAAACCAAATTTAAAAGAACCTATGTGATCAATTAGGGCTCCCCAGGTGGCTCAACTGTAAAGAATCCGCCTGCTGAATAGGAGACTCAGGTTCAGTCTCTGGGGGGAAGATCCCCTGGGCAAGGAACTGGCAACCAACTCCAGTGTTCTTGCCTGGGAAATCCCAGGGACAGAGGAGGCTGGCGGGCTATCGTCCGTGGGGTCGCACAGAGTCAGACACGACTTAACGACTAAGCAACGACAACAACAAATATGATCAATTACATTGATGCAAATAATCATGCCAAATTTATTAAAAATCAGACTTATTTTGCAAACCAGTTAGCTTAAATTTGACTATGTTTGGTAAATATGAAGATAATCCAGAGACTAAAGTTAAGTTTCAATAATATATCTTCATGGATATTAAAGTTTTCTATATTCTGAAGTTTTGTATTTAATACCTACACACAGGGTGTCTCTTTGTTTCTAAGTTACATCATTGTGAGGTGTAATTAAGTTATTAAGAGGGTATTCTAGGCTTGTTTCTGAAGCTATCGCAGCAATCTGTCTTGGGAGGAAGATGCGCTGCCTCGTGACCTGCCCTCAGGAGACCGTGCGTACTGAGAAGGTACCATTTTAAAGACTTTTGGTCTGACCTCGAGGCACTCTCACCAGGCACTCATAACTAGCTCTTGCACAGTGACCCTAAAGAGAATTGACTCTTGAGTTACTATTTCCCACTGAAAAGGGGCCTGTGCATGGAACTGGCCTATAGAGAGACTGCCAACCTCAAACTCACCTTAAAACAACTGTCAGGCCAGGACGAGCAGAAGGCGCCAACAGTGGTCAACAGACCACAGGCCCAGGAACCCGGGCCAGGCCTGTGAGCCCCATCCTACTAGCTCAGCAGAGCTGCTTACCAAATGCTCGTCCTCCTGCCACAGCGGAAGTTATTGTTTTACTGCTAACTATGCTTCCCCCCAACATTCAGGATGGAGAGAAAATTCTCTAGTAAAGTTGTCATGGGGCTTCCCTGGCGGCTCAGTGATAACGAACCACCGCTGTCAATGCAGGAGACGCGGGTTTGAGCCCTGGGTTGGGAAGGTCCCTTGGACCAGGAAGCGGCAACTCATTCCCGTATTCTTGCCTGGGAAATTTCCAGGACAGAGGAGCCTGGCGGGCTACAGCCATGGGGCTGCAAAGAGTTGGCAACTGAAGTTGCGTGAAGGGTGGCTCCGGGGGTAAGCCCCTCATAATACCTATCGATGACCGTTCAGATGTTCCTAACATGCCCACTCACCCAGACCAACTGCCCTTTGACCTAACCTTTCAGGTTCAGATTCTCCAACATCTAATATGCCCATCCATGTCTGATACCATCCTCTGTTCTTAGAGACTGGACGTATTTACGCCAGGACACCCTTGAACTCTGTTCCTTACTTAATTGGAAAATGTTCAAAGAGAAAAATGCAAGGAAATTGTGTCAACAACTCCCTTATATCGAGAGTCTAGTTGACTTTTAGAAAGTCTACAAGAGAAATGAGCCATAGTTTAATAAAATTGTGTTGACAGAGCCCTCAGTTCATGAGGCTATCAAGGGGAGAACCCGAGGGGATCACCTGTGCTCCCCGGGTTCTGTCTTCACACGTGGTTTTGGAACCGACGCAGCTTCCCAAGGATGGGCACATAAATGTCTCAACAGCTGACAGACATTGCGCCATTGTCTACACATCAGGAAACCGTTGAACCTCTTTCTGTCCTCATTTCAGAGTTAAGAGATCCATGTTAGCAAGATAGCAGGATACCTGGGAGCAAAATCTTTTGGGAACCTTAGTTCCTAATGCAAGACTATATGTCCGCAAAGATATGCTCAGAAATCTGTTGCATCAGCCGCCACGAGTCCAGTAAGCGGAGGGATTTCAAACAGTGTCCCAGCACAGCCTGCATCTGTCAGCGTCTCAGCCCTGCTCGGGCCGGACCACAGGGTCGCCTTAGGCTGCCTGCCTGCTGAACCAGCGAGCGTCTGTGCTGCTGCTCATGGTGCTCATTTACTTCTGGAAAGTGGAGACACCCCTACAAAGAATTTTCCAAAAGGCAAAATAATTATAAGATGGAGAAACTAAAACTGACCCTAAAATTATGCTTTGTTGGCTTCTCTCAGGAACAGACAATTTTCTTTCTGCTCCGTTCTTTACAGATGATGATTATTTTCACAATGCATACTTCGTGCTTTTCTTATGCATCCAGCTGCTCATGGCATGCATCACTGCTGTTAACAGCACATGCAAAATGTTTGCACAACAATTTGTTGTCACTGATAATATGCAGAACCCGTAAAATGCTTCTTAATCAGCATATACCTCTGTTTTCGTCTAGTATACTCATTCAAAAAAAAAGGAGCAGGCCTAGTACCGAGGGACAGGAGAGACCCAGGTAGCTGTCGCCCTAGAATCAAGGAACAAAATTGTTTACACTGAAGTGCAGTTTATTTACAGTGCTGTGTTAGTATCAGGCTCATAGCAAAGTGATTCAGATTTTACATAAACATATAATTTACATGTATCCTTATTTACTTTTCTTATATTATTCTTATAATATTTGCTATATAAATATTACATATTAATATATAATATACGTGTATATTCTTTTCCATTATAGGTTACCGTGAGATATTGGACATAGTTCTCTGTGCTGTGCGGTAGGTCTTCGTTGTTTATCTGTTTTACATATAGTAGTGTGTGTGTGCGAAGTCTCTGCAGCCGTGTCTGACTCTTTGCAACCCTTTGGACAGTAAGTGGCCCACCAGAATCCTCTGTCCGTGGGATTCTGCAGGCAAGAATAGTGGGGTGGGTCGCCGTGCCCTCCTTCAGGGGGTCTTCCCGACCCAGGGATCAGTCCCGCATCTCGTAGGTCTCCTCAGGGGCAGGTGGGTTCTTTCCCACTAGTGCCACGTGGGAGCCGTATATAGTAGTGAGCGTCTGTTAATCCCAAACTCCTGGTGTATTCCCCTCTCCACTTTCCCCTTTGGTAGTTTATTTTCTACATCTGTGAGTCTATTTCTGCTTTATAAATATGTTGACTAGTATCTTCTTTTAGATTCCACATGTAAGTAATATCACACGATATTTGTCTTTCTGTAACTTCACTTAGTATGATAATATTTAGATCTATCCAAGTTGCTACAAGTGACATTATTCCATTCTGGCTTCCCAGGTGGCTCAGTAGTAAAGAATTTTCTTGCCAAACAGGAGACACAGTTTTGATCCCTGGGTTGGGACGATCCTCTGGAGACGGAAGTGGCAACCCACTCCAGTATTCTTGCCTGAAGAATCCCATGGACAGAGAAGCCTGGTCAGCTACAGTCCATGGGGTCACAAGGAGCAGGGCAAGATTTAGTGACTAAATGCAATATCCTATTATGCATATGTATACTGCATTTTCTTTATCCATTCATCTGTTGATGGATATTTAGGTTGCTTTCATGCCTTGGTTATTATAAATAGAGCTTCAGTGAACTTTGGGGTATATGTATCTTTAGAATTAGAGTTTTCATTTTTTTCTAAATGTATGTCCAGGAGTGGGATGAATGGATCATACAGTAGTTCTATTTTTTTAACTTTTTAAGGTACTGCTATATTGTTTTCCATAATGGTTGTATCAATTTACATTCCTACCAGCAGTGCAGGAGGGTCCTCTTCTCTCCATACCTTCTCCAGCAATTGCTATTTAAAGGCTTTTTGATGATGGCCATTCTGACCAATATGAGGTGGTACTTCATTGTACTTTGATTTGCATTTCTCTAATAATCTGTGATGTTGAACATATTTTCATGTGCCTCTAGACTACATGTTTTCTTTGGAGAAATGTCTGTTTAGATCTTCTGCTCATCTGTTGACTGGATTGTTTGGTTTTTTTACATTGAACCCTATGAACTGGTTGTATATTTTGGAGATTAAGCCCTTGTTGGTCTCTTCATTTGCAAATATATTCTCCCATTCTGTCTTTTCATTGTGTTTATGGTTTCCTTTGCTCTGCAGAACTGTTAAGTTTAATTAAGTAAGGGACAAATATTTTGATCATCAATGCTTTCCTATTGAAAGATTTATAATTGAAAGGGGGAAGTAATTAAAAAATGCTCACATATTGAAGTACAGGGAAGTCATTCTGGCTTATGCTTCTCTAGAGCAGTTTCTCAGAGCGATCTGGGAAGTTGGTTTCTGGTCTATAGGCCTCAGTTTGGCTCAAATGCAACTCTTTTCTATTCTTATTATAGACTGTATATTGTTGACAATTTTAGATGTCTCAAAAAAGAGGATATCCAAACGACTAATAAATACATGAAGACATGCTCAGCACCATTGGTGGGTACAGAAATGCAAATTAAAGCCAACATAGATAGCACTATGCCCACCAGAATGACTAAAATGGAAAGTTGAAAAGTTCCACCTTTTGATGAGGCTGTGAAGCAACTGGAACCCTCATACACTGCTGTTTAGCTTGGAAATCGGCAAGGAACTTGGGGGAAATGTCTGATGAATTTCTCATGCTGGATACCATGTTTTCAATCCTAGCTATAGATCAACAGAAATGGGTAAATGTTTTTCCAAAAGGCATGATCAGGAATGAACCTCGCCGGGACTTCCCTGGTAGGCCAGTGGTTAGGACTCCATGCTTCCACTGCAGGGAACGGGAGTTCAATTCCCTGCAGGGACTAAGATCCTGCAAGCTGCATGGCATGGCCAAAAAACAAAAAAAGAACGACTATAGCAGCGCCATGTATGATCACCCCAAACTGGAAGTGAACAGAATGCCCAGCAAGAGTGGAAGGGGTGATGTGCGGAGTGCTCACCCAATCCGTCAGTCAGTTCAGTTCAGTCGCTCAGTCGTGTCCGACTCTTTGTGGCCCCATGGACTGCAGCACACCAGGCCTCCCTGTCCATCACCAATTCCCGGAGTTTACTCGAACCCATGTCCATTGAGTCGGTGATGCCATCCAGCCATTTCATCCTCAGTTTCGTCCCCTTCTCCTCCTGCCCTCAATCTTTC